AGTGCTGCGTGAGTTATTTGTCTTACCTGTAGAAAAAGGAGATGCGTGAGCGGAAGTGCAGCATCCCCCGGACTGTACGGGAGGACTCTGGCCCGTACTGGATGAGAATGTAATCATCTCTATTTCGTTAGAGTGTATATCAGCCGGGTTACTGCTGGCTGAATTCCCGAGGCCGATCACTTGTCTGAGGGGTGCGGCTATGTAGTCTACAATGCGGCTGATGATCGGGGGCTCGTGGTAGACTGACACGGATTTTCCTAGTACAATAACAAAAAAGTTAGGTTTGCCTCATTGGATCACCTGCTTTATACGACCATGCACTTGACATATCCGACCRCTTCCCTATCCTACCTTACTACTCCATATCTCACCTTCTTTACAGTATTCAGTACTTGAACACCTGTGGTATTCGACCATCYACCTGATTTATCCGACCACTATCCTATCCTACCTTACTACACAATATCTCACCTTCTTTACTGTATTCAGATGTTTGTAGTTTGAGTCTTTTATAACTTGGTGAATTTTCCTTGGTTTCTTTCTTGTTGCGCTTCTTGGAATTCGCTGTGAAAAGGTGAAAAAGGCGTTTGAATATTTGTGCCCATTGTTGTATGTACAGTGTGTCCAGCTTACCATCTTGTTTTTCTTTCTTTTCGGCCAAGACCGCTTGAATGGAATCGATCTCCCACTTTTGAACATGTGACCGGAACACGACCGGGACAAGTCTCTCTCGGCTGGTTCTGTTGTTATCCGTAAAAATAGTGCGTCAAATTTCAACATAGAGCGGTTATTCGAATAAATGGGAACATACGATACTGTTACAGCCATGTACCAGGTACGACATAACGTAACCTGGAAATGGCTTCCCATAAGAATGGTTATCGTTGGAGTGGGAAACATACGGTACTGACTTACAGCACGTACATGGTACGACATGCAGTAACAGTGGAATGGTTTCCCATTGTCTTCCAGTAATTCATCCAATCACAACGCGTTGTTACGGTTACGGTAAGAAACGGTACGACTATAGTATGGCTACGAGTTTGCGGTATTGTTTCTCACTGATACGAAAACCGCTCTAGCAATTTATTTGAATCAATATAAGGAGCTCTTTTGACAACAACTACGATTGGCGTTTATTTTAATTCTGCAATTAACAGTGCTAACATTGTATTATACAAAACAACTCACAATTCTGGAGGTGGGTGAAGTAGAAGGGGAAGATTTTGGCACATCTCTGTCGTCGCCATAAGTGAATCTACGAAAAAGGAAAACAAAGTTTAACTTAGTCATGTTTGCATGTCTCATCCTTAGGCAGCAAAGGCCGAACACATTTTCTAGCGTCGAGAAAAGTGATATGTGGAACTTCATCACTTCTTATTTTTTTAATCCTTATTGTAGTTTGGATACTTATATTTTTATATACATAAGTAGTAATATTTTTAGTGCGCCACTAAAACATCYGTCAACTGATGACTAATTTACCTGACAGAACTTCGAGTAGTGCAAGAGCCACCTGGAAGATCACAGTCACTCCTGTCAACATTAATAGATTTTATAAAATAACTGTTCTAAATCTCGCGTCATGATTGGTTGGGAGCGTGTGCTTGAGAGCACACAGCACGCACGCGCACTTTCAGTTTCGTTATTCCTGTAATTTTATAAAAGAAATTAAAAAACKTGCTTGCTGTGCTGCGTGGAATTATAAAGCACTTKGGAATTGGCAGAACACTCGAAAAGTGCCGGAAAAAACTCAACTACGCCTCGTGCTTCTCCTAACACTTCTCTCGTGTTCTCGTGCTTTATAATTGTACACACAGCACGCATTTTCTATTTCTTTAATAAACCTCGGACTGGTTATATCTCTATCGAGGCTMTTGTTTAGTTGGTATCAGATTTTCRATCCACTAATGAGTTTCTGTTGATATTCATWTCTACCGATGTCAACAGTCGTATACTTACTGAGAAGCTAAAATACTACGTTATATGAAAGAGTTATTATTTAGGACACACTCGATAGACCAGAAAGAAATGAGATGATATGATGTACCTTCAAGGAAGATCATGTCCCATATGAAAAGAACAGTGTCCCAACAAGGTAGAGATGTAAAGAGAGACATGAACCACGGCGTCAGGTACATTAGAGGGTTGATGCCTTGTTTATCCTGTAGAGGTATTTGAGAAAATATCAGTAACCATTATTATCAACATTAAATAATCATCATCTTCACCATCATCATCATCACCCTCATCATCGACAGCATCGACATCATCATCATAATCATCATTATTTCATGATCACCACCATCATCATCTTCACCATCATCATCATCATCACCCTCATCATCGACAGCATCGACATCATCATCATAATCATCATTATTTCATGATCATCAACATCATCATCTTCACCATCATCTTCACCATCATCATCATCACCATCATCGTCATCATCATCAACAGCACCGACATCATCATCAACCGACCATCATCACTATCAAGTTTTACTCACCAAATGCTTAAAAAGTTTGTTTTTCCTCTCTTTCATGATCACCTCAAAAACTGAAGCATGTCGCTGTATCCTGTGACCAAGCAAGACAACAGTAACCAACRAGTCTTTATAATAATAGTGAAACATTACATCAATATGTAAACTGTTAAGCTAGTCAATGCTTTGCTTRCCAAGTGCCGAGACGGGTCGTTAGTTCATCCACGTCAGTGTCAAACACATGTTACAACTTCTCAGTTTGAAGTCGGTGCATAGTATTATGTTTAAATCAGTGCCCTTAAAGGAGGGGGAGAGTACTTACTTGCTGAGCGAGTTATCGAAATAACCAGTCAGGTATTTGGGCCGTTCAAACAGAGAGACCAAGCACCAGAATGCTTTCTATCAACATAAAACAAGATCAATAAACATAAGACAAACAACAAACAAACATAAGGAGCCTTTGATCATCATTACCTCTTCATCCATGTTCATTAGTAACATACCAACGATGTACGACATCCCTAGACGTGTTCCGACATGCAAAGACAAAATCAACGTCAATCAAGACAACAAAACAGGGTCAGTTATAGGGCGGTTTTCGTAAGAAAAATGGAAACGATACGGCAAATTAGTTCGTAGCCGTATTGATCGTAGCGTATKTGACTTGGGGGCAACAGACATTTCCATGTTACGGCATGTCGTACCATGCACTGTATGTGCTGTGAGTCAGTACCGTATGTTTCCCACTCATACGATATCCATTCTTATGGGAAGCCATTTCACTGTAACAGCATGTCGAACCGTGTACKTGCTGTAACGGTCAGTACCGTATGTTTCCCACTCATACAATATCCATTCTTATGGGAAGCCATTTCACTGTAACAGACCGTGTACGTGCTGTAACGGTCAGTACTGCATGTTTCCCACTCGTACGAAAATCGCACTTACGTCATGAATGACCGGCATATATTGTTTCAGCGTTGGCGAAATCAATCGGTGCTGGAGGTGCAATTAAAGACCTGAGGAGGGAGAGAGGGGTGGTGTGGGTGTGGTCTTTACTATCACTATGGTTACCTTGACAATAGGAGACTGACTTGTTATACTGTGAGTATACAGCTAACACACGGAATAACGAAGCTCTTCCTTCTTTGCCTTCAGATGTTTCATCCATGAATCTTCTGTGCGTCGGGAATGAYCTCTCTACGACACCAAAATAGACATATCACCGTTACCATGGATACTAGACATATAATGATTAATAATAATTATATAATATTTATATTGCGCATATCACAGGGAGATGATCAATTTACAAAATATTACACTATAAGTTTACAGTGTATCTTATAATAAAATGCAAATAATAACATACTAATTTCTAGGCTCCAAAATAAATTGTATTAGATAATCACTCATTATTTWAAAAAATAATATATATTGATGGGCTGCCTGTGTCTTTAAGGTGAGCGACGACACAATTTTTGGTCAGCTGTGTTGCGGGTGCCAGTCCCTCTCGTCCAGCATCAGTTTTGTTTCTTTTTGAAATCAAATTCTAGATTTGAAAGTTTGGTCGTTTGTTTAAAAAGATCGCCTTCAAAATAACGATCTAACTGCCATGCCTACTTGGTGTATTGTCCGTGGGTGTTCTAATAGCTCAAGGAAGCTGAACTGTAAGCATTTGTCGTGGCATTCTTTTCCAACGCAAGACGAAGGGTTGTTGAGTGAATGGTTAACAAGAGTTGACAAGAAAGAGGTCAACAAAAACTGGAAGATTTGTAGTGAACATTTCGAGCCCAAATACATCGAGAAAACCCTAACTGGACGAAGAAGACTAAAGAAAGGAGCTGTACCTACGATTTTTAAGCAGCAATCGGGAAAAAGAAAAGGACGAAATGAAGGAAATAAAGCGACAAAGGTGGCAAGAACATCTGACTTTGTTATAGGAGAGGAGATTGTCTTTACTGCTGATCTAAATGGATCGGTTTTGAACGAAACACAAGGTATAAATGATGCTTCAATAGAAGTAGAAAAACTGCAGGGACTGAGAAGGGTCATTAAGGAACTCAAGCAAGCAAAGAACAAATGTCAAACACAAGGACCATCAGGTAATGAGAATGACTGTGTGCCTATGATGACAGTCGATGCTGCAACTTCAACTACTTTAGATGCACAAGATACTAAAAACCTTGTCCCTGTGTACTTCGATAGAGTATCAAGGCTACGAGCAGAGAACGATCAACTCAGGATTAACCTTGAAGCTGAGAGAAAAACATGGCTTCAAAAAGAAAGAAACTTGAGAGCCCAGTGGTTGAAAAGAGAAAATGACCTAAAAGATCAGCAGGAAAACTTGTTAAGAGAGAATAGGATTTTAAAAGTATCTGTTGAAACTGAAATATCAAAGCAAAAAAACCTAGAATTTCAGTGTACGAAAGAAAGAGAAAAACGTGTAAAAGCAGAAAAAGATTTAGAGGATAGTTACTTTTTATACAAAAACCTATGTAAAACACCAAAACTGTTGAATTATTACACAGGCTTCAACGTGGAAGAGTTTGAAGCATTCTTGAGTTTTCTAGGCATTTCATCATGTGAAAGTTTAAGCTATGAATATGCTGGACTTGGTTTAACTGTGGATGAAGGACATTGGCCCCGAGGCAGACCCAGGGGAATGAAACCAAGAGATCAACTTCTTATTGTACTATGTAGAATAAAAATGTCATTTTCTGAGAGAGATCTTGCAGTTCGCTTCAACATCTCCCAAACGCAAGTATCAAGAACATGTACATCTCTAATGAATCGCATGCAGACTAGATTCAAAGAGGGCAGCATATGGTTTGAACACATTGAAGAGTGTCCTGCTCAACGAACTGTGCCAGATTTGCTCAAGGGATTTTTTCCAAAAGTGAAGAGTTTGATTGAAGGAATGAGGGTTTATCTCCAGAAAAACAAGAAATGTTCTTTTGGGTCATCACCACCCTTGTCAATGGTCGTACCAATCTAATCTAAACCTCAAATAGTTTAAGGGAACAATAAAGGAGGAGAGTCATAACTGGTGGAATGCCAGTAGTTGAACCTTGAGAATTTTAAGATTACACATTGCAATAGTTTACATGTACATAATGTTATACATATATATTAGAATCAATGTTCATTCCCATTTAAAATAGACCTTACCAATACAGTAGCCATCTTAAATTCTATTTTTTTAATATGGACATTAGGGGATRCTGAGGGGGTACTGTAACTATTGTATGGACTGCACAGATGTCAGGCTTTCCTATTTATATAACATCAGGCTTCTCAATAAGATCCACATATAGAAAGCAATTGAATTTGCAGGTAGGTAGTTGGATCAATATTCTAAACAACTAGACTTGAAATTATTCAAAAATGTAACCCTGCCAGGTTATGCTTTATGAATTTTCTGTTTGCTCCCTAGACACCCCATAATTCAAGATGGCTGCCATATTCGTAAGACAGTCTATTTACGACAACTAGTTTACTGGACATTCCCAAACATGGAGTGCATTAGTCCTCATTCAAAGTTTGTCCTCATGATTTTGTGAATAATGTACATTTAACATGATTCTGTTTCTAGACAATTGAATAAATTAGCAAAACAGATAACAATTAGAATTTCTGTATTAACAAAAATAGCACATTTGAATTAACCAATTTAGCTTGTGTGTAATGTCTTACCATTTCAGAGCATGTGTCATTCCCTAGAGTATCATTTCTTTGTTTAGCGGTTACACATGAGAAGACACATGAATATGGATACAACTCAAACAAAGAATCTTTTGCTCAAGACCACATGTCATTTCCTAGAGTATCATTTCTTTGTTTAACRGTTACAATTGAGAAGACTCRATGAATATAGATACAACTCAAATGAAGAATCTTTTGCTCAAGTAAATGACACATGGAATGATACGGGAAAATATTTTGCCAAACTACATTAAATATAGAAAACTTACCCAAATCAAGCATGATTTGTCTAAAGACACCAATTTTATGGTTCATTTCTGCCTTGGCTGTTGTTCTTTCTTGCAGYGACACAGGACTGCCTTCATTATCAYCTATTCCTGCATTATTTAACTTTCCTGTGAAGACATTTTAAATGTTTTTCTCCTCTTGTTCAAATTTTAGAAAATGTGATCTAAATCTAATGCAAGAACTAGTATAAAATAATGGCAATGTACAGTAGTTCAAACTTGTCATCGCTARTCACCAGTACAGCATTAGCGCAACTCAACAGGGTCAAACTGAAAGCAACAGAGTAGCTCTTTTGCCACTGAAAGTCAAGTAGGATTTAGAAGTTGATTTTTGCATAGGGAGGAAAATAAGAGAGCCTGAATAAAATGTTGAGTTTGGGATTCAAATCAGGTTACATTATATTGGTGACARCAACTGGGCTTCAGTTCAAATCATTCCAGAACATTTCCTATAGAGACTACTCACGTACTAAAAACCTATCGATATATATGATGTGTGTTATGTYAAATACTTACCAAGTACAAAACCAAGACGCTGAATGCAGTTTCTACCCCCATATTCACTGACACCAAGGTCAACTAACATACAACGAATCTCTTCAAGGCTAGTCTACAGATGATAATAATAAAAACAAGTCTAAACATACAACAAATCTCTTCAAGGCTAGTCTACAGATGATAATAATAAAAACAAGTCTAAACATACAACGAATATCTTTAAGGCTAGTCTACAGATGATAATAATAAAAACAAGTCTAAACATACAACGAATCTCTACAAGGCTAGTCTACAGATGATAATAATAAAAACAAGTCTAAACATACAACAAATCTCTACAAGGCTAGTGTACATGAGTCTACATAACTTGAGGGGGTAATTATTTTGAGGAATAAATGGATAAAAAATTGTTGGGGGGGGGGGAAATTTACACAATTTCTTGAGAGGGGGATATGTTATACAAAAAACTATTCCTCCCATGAAAACCACCAGTCCCCCCCTGAGATGTAATAAATGGCAGTTTTATACCTGGTAATTGAATGAAGTGTTTGCACGTATGGCTTTAGTATCTAGAAGATTGTTCCATAAATCACCACGGACTTCTTTTGGTACCCCAGACTTCATTGACTGAYGTAACTATTTGCAAAATAAGTATTAAATATGGAAGGAAGGTAACAGATCCYGGGGGGTGGGGTTGGAATGGTTATAAATCCTTCCTCCCCCCTCTGCTAAAAATATGAATGTCAACTTTATACATTGCTCCTGTGCGTAAGTCAAACTATTAACACCCCTTTCAAAATTAACTTTCAACRAACCAGCACTAAAAATTACAGCTATTGAATGGCCAGACATGATGATGTGACCAGTCAATCTGACCAGTCAGAGGGTCGGCCAGACAAGTGCCATCTTTGGCCAGGCATTGTCCTGATTACAATAATTCAAATGACAAGGAGCAGAGGGCTTAAAATTAGAAGTGTGCAACTAGGGGAATATTCAGTGCAACTACTTTAACCGCGGGGTCACTTAGATAATGAGAACCAATCAAATCGTAGAATGAAAACAATACATTCCAACTTTGGGTAATGAAGCCAATCAGAAATCAGCAGAAAATAATAGCCTTTTAAAATATATTTTTATTCCCATGTGAAAATGACGATGGCTATCAACTTTTTTACTGTAACGTCAGGGTCAAATTACAATTCTTGTGCAGTCTTAGGTCTCTGATTGGCACCACTAGTATACCAATGGTATACTAGTATAACAATGTATTGTTGTCATTCTAGATTTTAATCGTTTCTCTTGTGTAACTCTCCAAGTGGCCCCAGTTACAGTAGTTGTACTGTAACTACAGTAGTATTAAATGTGGATAGTAAAACTTCTCAGTTAATATAAAAGCGATCAAAGAAAACATTGAACCCTGCTTACATGATGTGGAGACATGAACCGACTTGAACTGTTGTCCAAGTTCTCCATGATTCTCTTCCATGTTTTGGTCTTTTTACTGGAATATTCCAACGAATCATCTCTGAATAATAAATAGTAGGAAAATGTGAAAGAATATTATGCAGTGCGATGTGGTTTATGTGTCGCATCATTGACCCAAACGACAGCTGGTCATAAGTTTTTCTTACCAGCAATAGAACTGATAATTGATACTCACTTATACTGATGGCAGCGATCATCGTCTTCAGCATTGTTTGTACCTGGTTTAAACATCGCGAATCCATATTCATCAAACTGTAAAATTTGATCAATCGTTCGATCTTGTTCCCATCTCAACGACATTGCAAAATTATTTCAATGAGTTTGACGCTTAGAATTTATGATTTTAGTTYTTTTTAGACAATAAAAACGTTTATCTTACTAAAAATTGACTTGGAAGTTTTCGAAATTTGTTAAAAAGATCGTATTTTGGAAGAAAAAACCATTTAAATGTTGAACTGGTAAACACTTTAAATATGTTTCAYTTGAAAAATGCCGCCTTGGACCGCGAGGAGACTGGTGCGTGTTTACTAGATCCTACTCCCTCTCGTCCTGCGGTGTGACGTCATTCTTTATGACGTAATAAGGAAAGAAAGGCGGCAAGAAACGGGAAATGTTTGAATGAAAACAAATTGAACAAAAAATGTCAACTGCTTCAGCTAAAGAGCCTAAGCTGTTACCTCCTATTCTAAGTACATTACAGGATTTAAGACACTTACCAGGGTATATTGTATATTGATTATTGAATTGTTTATGTGTTACGAWTTTGAACTCTACTTTTATCGCATTTTTCAACTCTTCTTTCCTTTCTTCCTCTTAATTTACATTTATATCTGGGAACTTCTTGTCGTTTGGCTATTATTTTTTACCCATTACAAAAGTCGCTATGTCGACATTCAGATGGATGCTTCTTCGGCTGATGTACGTTTTACCACGTTCTCGTAGGTACGCAGGATTCAGGCCTCAATACAAATGGCGTTACGGAGACACTTTTGGCAACGACACTGCGAAATACTTCCAGCAGAAACGCTCTCTCACCCTAACAAGTTATACAGCAAAGGATTCTGGGATGGGATGGGATACTAAGGTCCAGTTGCCATCRGTTTATTCAAATGTCCCAGACCTCGTACTTGGTGCTCGGGCACGCGACGGAAACAGAATGTTGGCGCCAATCAAGTACACTCTACTCAATCATCATGACAGAGACGAGGACATACGGGACTTTCTAAAGGTAATTATGGTAACTATCTATCAGAGGCACAGCCAAAAAACGAGGGCAGTTCTGAATTTAAAAAGGTATTTTTAATAGAACTTTTCTGCTTGCGCTTTACAGACCACGTGTCATTCCCTATGAGTACAACTTCTTCGTTTAACGGTTGCGCATGACAAGACAAATGAATATGCATACAAAGAACCGTGTTCTCAACAGCTCAAGAGAATGACACGTTGTCTGAAATGGAAAAACATTGCACCCAGCCGAAAAGGTCTATTTACAAACAAAAAKAATTAAAAACACAATACGCATGCGCGCATTCGAAGTTTGGTTTTAGTCAAAGCTCAAGTGAGTAGATATACTTTATATGAGCTTCTTTCATTTGGAATGGACTGAAAAACCCCGAAATGACGGTAAATTCCAAAACGCATCCCACATGGAATGAAGTAATTATGTGAGCTAACTCATCAGGTAAACAGTGTTCACGCTAGATATGCTGGTCATAGCAAGGGGTTAATCATCTACGGTCTAKKGGCMGACTAACCTCTCCCTTAGGCTTTCCCTTGGKTCAGTTTCTAGTACATTTATTGTATTGMCTCATATATATAAGATCATTTTGGCCACCAATCTATTCTAAACTAATACGTTTAGCACTGGGTGGATCRACGGCTTAATGCCTCACCCAACTGATAAGGAGCCGATAGATCGAATTAGAATTTAGAAGTTGAATTTTCTYTTAACGTGTTTACTGAGTTTAGAAAGTTCAAGATCATCGTTGTCAGTACGTAGATAGCAGTGGGACGTTACCAAGGGTTGACTACTTTGTTCTGCCTACAAAGAACGACATCAAGTCTTTTTCAACTACAAGATGCGGTGATGATGATCTTAGGTAAGTGCGTARTGAGGCAGCATCTGGGGTCGGGTGAGGAACAGACTAACTGAACCATAGTGCTGTGAACTGAAGTCAGTGAATATCACATGCACTAGGCAGCGCGCACTGAACAACATAACTACGATTGTATTTCATACCATTGCATGGTCGTCTAAAGATACAAGGGCGGATCCAGGGGGAGGGTCTGAGGGGTCGCGACCCCCCTGTCATTCCCGAGGTCAAATGTGGTAAAAATGCGACTGGGATTCCTTTGCCCACAAAATTTACCCCTGAGACCTCCCTTCAAAAAAAA